CTTGTACTTTTGCGAGACATTTTTTAAAAGCTTACAACGTCAACACCTCCTGAAGCAGAGGAATGAAAGTTGGCGCAGACATAGACAAGATTTGTCTGCAAAAGTACCCGAAGCTTCAAAGGATTTTAAATAGATATTGATTTTTGACAATTTTTCAAAATTTAGTCAACTTTGAGCTTCGAATTTTGCAACGCGTTCTTCAAAAGTCGATAACTTTACAATTTCTTCATATAGAGAGATGAAAGTTGGCACAGCCATAGACGAGAGTCACCTAACAAATTCTCTAAAATTGCAATTGATTCCAACTTAAAGTTGATTTTTGGCGATTTTTCCAAATTTGGCCGACTTTTTGCTTGTACTTTTGCCAGACATTTTTTAAAAGCTTACGTCAACATCTCCTGAAGTAGAGCAATGAAAGTTGGCGCAGACATAAACAAGATTTGTCTGCCAAAGTACCCGAAGCTTCTAAGGATTTTAAATAGATATTGATTTTGGGCAATTTTTCAAAATTTAGTCAACTTTGAGCTTGGACTTTTGTAACGCGTTCTTCAAAAGTCGAGGAACGGTCCTGTTTTCCGGCCGTCACCAGCCCCTCCCTTTGCATCTAATGCCACGTTAAAAAAGTACGGGACGCCGCCGCCAGGGGATGAAAATGATCAGGGTTGTACTAAGGCGATATCGCAGATAAAATTGTGTGGATTTTTTTAAAGTTTAGTCAACCAGAGATATGAAAATCTCGAGTCGCAAAATTTTCGAGTGAACTTTTGCGCGACATTTTTTGAAAATTCATATTTCCTGGATTTCCTTAACTAGAGCGATGAAATTTGGCCAAAGCGTAAAGACGACTTGACGAAAAACTCCCAGGGGTGAGTTTGGCGATTTTTCAAAGTCCAGACTCAGAACTTTTTCCTTCAGGTAATATTTCAAAAATTCATAACTCCTAAGCATCCGTCACTAGAGAGTTGAAATTTGACACAAACATGGCAAAAAGCCTTCCTTGGACGCTCCCAAAGTTTCGATTCAGTTCCACAACTGACTGAATTTAGGTTGATTTTGCGGGGGCCGCTTCAACTTTTGCAAGCCACTGTTCACCAATTCATAACTCCCAAACCTCCCAAACCATCGAGCTGAAATTTGGCCCAAGTATAGAGGAAACTCCTCTTTAGCATCGACCAAAACCCAACTCAATGTCCGAATGGCAAATGTCCATTCAAAGTTGATTGAAGAAACTATCGACGTTAAAGAAGAATGAGCGGCTGAAACATCCGCATATAAACAGACGGCTGTATCTTCACGGTAGGTGTACCGGTTTGATAAATAATAATAATAACCGTCCAATGCAAATTGGGACTGTTATAAGTGCGTAACCGCCTAACGTTTTCTGCGCCAGCCGCTCCACACCAGGTGCTTCGAAGTTTCGAATCATCATCTTCTGCGATTCTTCATAGCACCTGCATCGGTTTGCGCAATTTACGTCCGCGATTGTGTAACATGCTTCCGAGTGGACAAACATGAAATGTGCCAATTTCCGTGCCCGCGTTGAATGGAAAAACGAGCAAATAGAAAGCGCAGACAAAAACTCTTGAGCTCCGGCCTTTATTTCAGCAAATTAAGCGGCTGCTCACTGGGTGCGTGATGCAACCGTCCATCTTGGTCGAAAACCCATAAAAGCGTCCTTATGCAATGGGTAGTTAATTGATAATTCCGGAATATGTGCGATTGCAAAAATCGATTTGCGTAATCAATCGCTGGCTGGAACAGAGGAAAGACCGTATCAATTCCTCAATCAATTCCGCCATTCTTCCTGGATCTCCACGTGTGAAAACTCTTCATTATCTTGATGCGGCGATTGTAAATCTTCAGAAGCTGATGGACGAGGCACACATGCCAGCTGTTATTACGGGAAATATTATAAAGTGCATAAGCGCAGATTTCTGATAAATCTTATTAATTTATGTGTCACGTGCAGGCCACGATATAGCGGATGTTGCATTTAATTGGAACCGTTTTCCGATGGGCAAAACAACTAATCGGGTTAAAGAGTGCATCGATTTCGCATCGTTGTCGATCAATGGCGCGCGGCACTCCGCAAAGGTATTTGCATTTTCTTGGCTCCGAAGCCAAACCGATCGATATGGAATCAATTAACATTTGTGCGAACATTCTGGACATTATTTCATTCTAACGGTGCCTCGTTTCGCATTCTGAAATAGGCCTGGGTAATACTGTGTCTTACGACACTTTTGTGTTAATGCGCCGCTCTGTGTGTCCATGTGCACCGACACCTCACCTGGATTGCAGTTCGTGAAGGCCATGCGCAGTTGCCATATGGTTTCTGACCCTCTCGGCAGGGATTATTTTATGTGATAAAGCCGCACGAACGAAAGTGCTCAAAATACTCGTCTACTGATTACTGATGATTTCTTGTTTATCTCGGTTCGATGGCTCGCATACGATGCTGGTCGCAGGTACCATTGTATCAGTGAAATTTTCATTTTTTCAAAAAATCAACTCCCACCCTTTGAAAAATTTCGACCAAAAATCAAAATTTTACATGCGTGTTTTTTGAGCTCAATCGATTCCTTTTGATGTAAGAAGGTCACAAATATGCTGTTACAAAGTGTTTGGGTCAATAATAAGGACGAAATCGTAGGCTGAAGATCTTGAACCCTCAAAAAACGCTTAAAATGTGCCGAAAATGTCTATTATTTCGAATCTGAAACTTCTAGGTTTTTCAATGAGTTCGACGCATTCCTCGCGTCCGTGAGCTGAAAATGATGTGAAATTTGAGACTTTTTCGGAAGATTTTCATTTTTTCAAAAAATCGACCCCCACCCTTAGAAAAATGTCGACCAAAAATCAAAATTTTACATGCGTGTTTTTT